AACTCTCCGGAAGCCCCGGTGTAGATAAGGGACATAAGTCATAAGTGGCATGTTGACGTCTTGTAACCACTAGACAAAAACAGGAGAAAAAGAAAGTACTACCAGATCTTGAGCACGAGCTTGTTTCCTTAATTGGCAGTTGAAACAGGATGTGTGGCCTGAAAGCCAGTGCATGCTCAGTATGAGTTTTTGTGACCATGCTACATACACTCCTATAAATTATCATGGAAGTGAAAAAGGGCCCCTCGGATGCTACTTGGATGACCATTTTCCTCCATAAACAGGTAGTTATCATTTTCAATATTTTTCCTTCGCGTGTCATTTCTTTGGCTGCACACAAAACTCTGCTGAGATGTGCTGATAATATGTTTTTCTACTAAGTAACTGCGTTGCTCGGGAATGAGGCTCTTTGTGGATGAATTCTGGAAGACTACGTGCCCGGCAGGCCTTGAGCTGTTCTGGAATTGACAGAACAAAGTGAAAAGAAAGCTCAGACAGCCACAAGAACTAGTGCAACCATTCAAATGGTTTGTGGTGCCTTGGACCTTGGTCTGGCTGCTGACCTGATTAACCTTAAGTGGTCCCAAGAATCAATTTCCCTCCCAGCTCAGCTCAGGGCCAAATCACATGGGCTGTCACATTGCAGCCACATCGGGCACAACCTTGGAATTAAATGTAAAGAAAACAATTGGACTTCTGACGAATACAGTGTGCAAGTCCAAGTTGACCTCCCAGGCGTGGAGAGAAGAAATGAATGACCCTGACAAGCTGTCCGAATGTCACGGCGATTGTTCTCGAACATCTGGGACGCTGACGGGAATCTCCTACGTCCATGTTGAGGGATACCACTTTCTCCTCCACAGCCTGGGATCGCAGCGAGTGTATCCTTATAGAAAAAAAGACTTTAAGGAACCAAATAGCACTGGCCTCCAACCGATGGCCTCCAACCTAAGAGCAATGGCCTCCAACCTAAGAGCGATGGCCTCCAACCTGAGAGCGATGGCCTCCAACCTGAGAGCGATGGCCTCCAGTCTAACAGCGATGGCCTCCACCCTAAGAGCGATGGCCTCCAACCTAAGAGCGATGGTCTCGAACCTAATAGCAATGGCCTCCAACCTGAGAGCGATGGCCTGCAGCCCAATAGCAATGGCCTCCAACCTAATAGCAATGGCCTCTAGCCTAGTAGCGATGGCCTTCAACCTAATAGCGATGGCCTCCAACCTAAGCGCAATGGCCTCCAACCTAAGAGCAATGGCCCCCAACCTAAGAGCAATGGCCTCCAACCTAAGAGCAATGGCCTCCAACCAAGAGCGATGGCCTTCAACCTAAGAGCGATGGCCTCCAACCTAAGAGGGATGGCCTCCTAATAGCATTGGCCTCCAACCTAAGAGCGATGGCCTCCAACCTAATAACGATGGCCTCCAACCTAAGAGCGATGGCCTCCAACCTAAGAGCGTTTGAAAGGTGAAAGGAAATGTGGTGCGAATCGAAATCGGGAGATGCCCCAGCAAAAACAGGGTCAGGGTGACAAATACATAGTGACTACATGGCCTCCTTATTGTTGCCTCCTTATTGTTGGACAAACCCAGATCAAGAAAAGGGCGGAATGACTGGAGGTAACGAGTGCAACAATTTTGGGTAAACAAGCAGTTGACTGCACAAATGACAATCCCCATTTCGAGTTGTATGTCTTCTAGGAGGGAAGTCCCGAAAGAAAAAAACATGTCATTTCGACCAAAACATTGCATACCCTATGTTCAGATCGTGCCTTGCTTCTCATCTTCAGCCAAAGTAGCAAAGCACTTGCAAGAGCATTGCTTGCAATGGCCCCTGGGATTGCCTCAGTCTGCCAAAGCAGTGTGCCAAAGCAATCCAGCATCAGAAGCATTCACAGCAAGTGAATGAGCAGGATCGATGCGGTGCACACGTTAAGTCAACAGGTCAGAAGCATATATTCGTGCACAGAGCTGTCCTACTATTCCAAACAAACAAACTTACTACTAGCAGCTAGAAGCTACTAGTAACAAGGGCATCGCTATATACTAGTAACAAGGGCATTACTACTAGTAGCTAGAAGCTACTAGTAACAAGTGCTCATTCAAGAATCCGGCCGCACTGAAGGTACCGAGCCGAGCGTGTTTCCGTAAATTCGCATAAACAGCTAGCATCGCACAAGCGAATAGCTTTGGCTATGAGCCCTTTTTCGTTCTGGCAAAAGCTTGCTATCAGAACGGACGATTTTCTGATATCAAATCGACTTCTGATGTATGTTGGCATGGGAAGCTTGACTGATCGGTAAACATACATATATGATATTAACAAGCTTCAACAATGCATTTACAGTAACGAGGATGTTTGGAACAGGAGTCATTTTGGCAAAACAGGTCAAAGTTGGGTCGAAATGTGGCCAACATGAACTCAAAATGAAGCCAAAAAATGAAGCGAAGAGTGCACCCCCATGTAAAAATAATATATGCATATACATATAATATACATATACATATACATGTATATATATATATTATATTAATAACAATAACAATGAAATGGTTGTTTTCTAAAACTCATGTGGACTTCCGAAGGATTCCAGGCGATCTCACTTATCGCTAGCATCACACAAACTAGTCGCTAGCACCGCGCTAACCGCTGGCATCCCCGAGCTTGTTTTTGTGAGCTCGCGCTACTAGTAACTGATAGTGTTGCATGAGCTGATCGCAATGTGGAAAAACGATATTCAGAACGGCCGCTTGATTGATATCGACTTCTGATGTGATTATATTTATGGCACGGTAAGCTTGCCTTATCCGCAAATGATCTCAACAAAGTCAATAATAATGAAGCCAAAAGTGCACAATGCGCCCCAAAGCCTACAAGAAACGGGCCGTTTTTCTTACATCCTGTCGTATGTCTGTTGAGATGGCTCAACAAAGCCCACACAGGGTTCAAAATGAACCCAAAGCAATTAAGATCCGGGTAGGGCAAGCATGAGCTCAAACACACTTTTCTGATCCGCATGGACAAGAAATAAAACCAACATGGTAACAATGGCCCAATTTGGCCCGGGATACTTGCAAGATGGTCGCAATGAACGCAAAACAAATCTAAGATGGTCCCTCAAAAGAACATGAAAATGAACTCGAAACAGGACTGACGAACTTTAGAATCAAAATCCACATTGTGTATGGGAAAAGTTATACAGATATAGATATCAGAACACCCGGTGTCCTCATACCGACTTCTGATGTGGATGGTGAACTCAACCAATACATAACACGATCCATCCAAAGACTGCCATGTATTTCACCTGAACCAAAAGAGACCGCTAGTCCCATTGATCGGTGCGGGCGGTTTTAGTCGCGAAGCGACCTGAATTCAGCGACTGAGCTGGCATGTACCTTCATTACTTCATTTTATCAAACAATACTGTCCAACTCTACTCTATATATAATGCAGCCTGAAATACATTGATTTCAGAGTAGATGCCACAAACCCCAAAAAGTTTTTATATAGGCATAGGGTCCATGTAAACCACCTTTTGGTGCATTGTGCCATCTACTCTGAACCACTGTATGATTCATACTTTTTGTGTGGCTGTTGCCTTTCTTTCAAACGAGTCTGAAGCCAGGCCTCAGTGGCTTTAATCATTGACACAGAAGTGGCTGTATTGTTCGAATGAAGAGCAAAGCTGCTTCCAGGATCGACCAAAGTGGAATCTGGAAAGGTCTGGTTTCGACAGTTGCAGACTGGTTGCCCAAAAGGTCCACACAGGGCCCATCGGCTTCCTCGAGCGTGTGGGCGGTCAATACTCTGAGTTCAAATTGGAATTGACAAAAACACGACGTATGTGTTTTGGGAAGAGTAGATATTGACGTATGATCCTTATAGTCCAGAAAAACGGAGCCTCTTTCGGGTCACTTCTTGAATAGGCATTATCCAAGGCTGCTTCTTTTCCATCATTCTAGCTTATGAAAACCGATGACAATGCTGAGAAAATGATGATGTTTCTGCTGTGCTTTGTGATAAAAGTAAAGAATTCCCAGGGCCACGGATGCACCATGAATCCTCTCAGAATATGGCCCGCTGCAACTAGAATATGCGGGCGAGACAAGGTCCTATTCAAATCTGGATCTCATGATTTGCACTCTTCTTCCGGCCCTGCGAAACAAGTCCTTCCTCAAGTGTTCATCCCCACCACCCACATGCAAGTCCTCCCAGTCAGGTACAAAAGGTGTCTCAGCAACCTCCCATTCACCAAAAGGTCCTTCCTCCTGCAGACTCAGGCAAGGATCACAACATATTTCACATGAGCAAAAAGGGTCACTACAGTAAATGAAGCACCAAAGAGTTGCATTCTGCTGATTCTCTCTGTTCAGGAAGAACTCCCTCCTTGTCAAGGACGAAGCGCAATCGAACCTCACTGGTCTGAAAAGGCTCCAAAGTGCTACAGACCAGATCACGACGCTGGAAGATGCTTGATGCTTTGTATTTGCTGTCATTAACAAAGGTGGCCGAGTGGGCACAGGAGTTCTACAATCTGCGCGGTAACACAAACATCCAGAAACTTTTCTATGGATATGTGCAGCTGCAATTTTAACAGAGATGTGGGCAGTGGGCTCTTACATATCGTACAAATGCCAAATTTGAAGGTTCACCAACAAAAAGGAAACCCATCCAATGTTACAAAACCTCTTTAACAGGAAGGAGAAGTCTTTGTGTGGAAAACTAATGGCTCCTAGACCTGAAAATTTTAGCAGAAACATGTAGTGATGAAACTACAAAAAGCTCGTGTCTTCCGCCTACACGACTGATGCCAAACAGACTTTGGAGGCATGGCTCGTTTGCCAAGGAGCATGGGAGTCAGGGTGAAGCCCATGAACCAGCATGGATTTACCTGGGACGTGTCGTACACATTATGCATTTCTGCACATTGAATGTCAGTCCCTACCATGGACACCCAGCAAGCTGTACATAATCGCTCTTTGTGTAACAAACTATGCTCTTTAAGCAGACTGAAACGATTTCTCGGCCAAACTCAACGGCCCTTCTTCGTCTCTGTTGTGTTCCATGCCTTCACAGCATTTCATATGGAAGGCATCTCCAATCTCAGGCTCCACTTCAAGAGAGTACTTGCTCACATCCTGAGGCAGTTGCAATCAGTCCTATCCCCAGAGCAGTGTGAGTCCAGCATGGGTGAAGCACATTCCCTGTACCTTCCAAGGGAGTTTGACCCTCCTATGGGGGGCAATACATCTCCGCCCTTCAAAGCTCCAAAGGAGAAGCTTCAAACTAGCCCTTCGCTCTTTACTGGCCTGGTCGAAGGATAGTTGCACGCTGGTAGCAAAGGTCTGAGTGACGCTTGGGACAGGCAGGATCTGGTGCAGCAAAACTCCTAAGCCCAATTCCTTGCCATGCATCAGGACCTCAGCTGCTTAAGCTGCTTCAGGGTGAAGGGCCCTGGTTTTCATTTGCAAAGGGCAGAACCTTTGAAGATGTAAGACAGTTGAGTTTGGCACCATACCAGGCTTTACTTTCCTGGGGGCATGAACTATTAGGAATGAAGCAGTAGGGCAAAAGGCTGATTCCATCGTTGCCAACTTCCCTTTCATTTGTCTAGATCCACAAGCTGGAAGCAACATGTCAGCTGGAGACACATATATCTCTCTCGATGAAAGGACCTTTTCTGCTTCAATCTGCGACCTCCTATTGGCAAAGAGAGCTTTGAAGGCATCAGAAAGGACTGGATCCGGTACTGTAATATAACAATAATGATAATGATATAATACAATATCATACAATGTAATGTAATGGCGATCTGTGGCCTGTCTTCTCAGAAAAGAAAAGCCTTCTGAAGAAAAGCCTTCTGATTCCGAATGCTGTATCTGAAGCAAGTTGGGTTCACATGTCACATAAAGTTGGCCGAGAAGCCCATCGGCCCTCGCCATTTTCCAGGCTTTCGACGCTGTGCTTGTAGTCAAGCCTGAGCTGAAAACAATGGGCTGACCACTTTCGTCAAGCCAATATTGGCTTCAAAAGGCTAGATTCTTTCGAGTTTCTAAGGACTTTTTACGGAAAATTGTGCTTGCACATAACTCTGCAACTGGCCACTTGTCGGGGAGTCTGCGCCAAGCAGCAAAAGCCAACCATCTCTTGGCTGACCTTCTAAGATGTCGCCCTTCTTCACAACACCCACGGGACTTGCCACCGTTGAAGGCAAGCTCCGGATCATCACGTTGGGAACCACTACATCAAAGCGAGCAACCTCTGTTCCCTTGTGCCGGATCCATTTGCTCAGGTCATCCTTTGCTGCAATGATGGATGGCGTTTGCTGATCACATTGCTAAAACGCGCGCAGAGGCTCATCATACTCTTGATTTGAATTACATAATATATATATATAATTATATATAGTGCTTTCGTTTCCCCCAAATGGCTGCAAACCAATAGCCGGGCCGTGTTCCTACTCGAGGCATTAAGGCTCCCGTTCCATATTTTCAGGACGGTGGGTCATTTGCCTAATTCTACAATGGCAGAAAATTGGAGGAATCGAACTTCCGAGCGTGTGGCTGGTCGACACTTTGCAGCACAAGCTTCAGTTTTCAGGGTGCGTGAAGAATTTCCAGACTCTGGTTTCGTTTGAATACTTTTCTATTGAGAGCGCACAAGGAACATCGCACACATTCAAGGGCACGAGTGGAGATGGAAATCACACTTGAGGGGCAGAATTGAGAGCACAACACCACAGCCAAAAGTCCTGCTTGAGATGCTTACTTGCGAGCACGACCTGAATTTTGCAGAGGAAGGCGAACCTATTAAAGAGAACACAGGAAGGGGACACTCAATAAAGAGGAATTATTGAATACACTTAAGAGTACTTGGAGGGCATGCTGCAGGAGCACAGTTTAAGGGTAAAAACAGTCCTGCAACCGCAAGGCCTCTTCCAACAGCATGTTCATGTTGCTTGGTCACATAAAAAAGCTGTTGGTCCCAGTGTCTATGTTCACCTTTGGCTTCGCCGCCGGAGCTTTTGCTTTGGGCTTCGGAGTCGCAGAAGTGCCTGTCTTAGAATCCACGCGCTCCAGCAAGGTACCCAAGCCCACTGAAGAGCCATTCACCAACATGTAGCCGTCACACTCCTGTGCTTCAACTCATGAAGAACTCCAAAGCTGCTACAGGCTCCAATTGCAACCATTTGCCTGATTAGGTTCAAGTGCTCATAAGCCAAGGGTTTCTAGAAATGGAGAGAATGCTTTCCAGGGGTGACTCACATCCAAAAAATGTTGTTCATACACCTTTTCAATCTTCCGTGTGGCCAACCCGGCTCCCCTTTCAAGCGGTCAACTCACCGAACTTGACATTCTGAAGTCTTTCACACCCCTGTCTTATTAGTCGACCCCTGCATGTCATGTCATCTCAAAAGTCTGCGAGATGTGTCCTGGCCGTCCATTCCATGATGCTTCACTTTGAGCCATGGAGTGCCAGCAACTTCAGTCAAAGCTCCTTCAACGGTTTTGCCTGGCGCAAGAAACAACCAAATGGAATGAATGATCTTGGATGAAACAAAAAAATTTGTTGAATAAATATTCCAGACTTTAGAACTACTTAACTACTTTGGGAGTTAATCCCTACGATCAACTTGTTTTAGTTATTTATATATATCAAAATATTGCAAAAGTAAAAAAACATGTTCACGGAGTAGTCAGTAGTCCACTGGGGCCGTGGAATCCACTGTTATGAACTGTCTGGTTGTTAAATAAGATCCATTGATTTTTTGTTGTGGCAATAAAAATAGTAAAATCAAGCACTGAACCATCTGTCGTTTGATTCTCTTCGGACTTCCTCGTGCTCAGGACTGGAGAATTCAATGTAAAATGCACCGAAAAAGATTTGCTTCCGGTGTCTGTTCCCACCTGAAGGGTCGGCAGCACAGACTCCAACTCCAGTTAGCAGTAAAAAGTAAGCGTTCTGCAACGGTAGGGGTCTGAGTTCTTCCTCTCGAACTTTCATGTGGGTCTTGGTTTGTCCTTTCCTACCAAGCAAGTGGGTGATGCACTGTATATGACTATAATTTTCAAAGTAATTCCAGGGAGGTTGGTCTAGGAATTGCGTGTAGAAAGAAAAGAAAGAGAACAGAAAAGGAATTCCTTCTGCTGAATTGATTGCTTAAAGAAAACAATTTTTTTGCTGAATGGCTTTTGGAAAACAAAAGAAACATGAAAGGATGCGCCCCTTAAACGCAAATGAACAAGGACACCACAAGTTCTGACAAGGTACTGGTTTTTTTTCTGACTCGGCCTGATTACTATACAAACCTGCATCTGAAGCACGAAACACCAAGTCTTGACAAAAGCGGGTTGAACACACTAGTTTTGCAGAAGCTTCAAAGTTGCACATAAGGTCAAAGGGCCGCCTGCCTTGGGCATGGAATCCTAATATCCCTGCTGAAGTGCTCGGGGCTTTTCTAATGATGACGCCTTGGTGCAAAGCGACTCAGCATTCTGACACATTAGATGGTTAACTTTAACCAAGTCCATCTGAATGAAGCGACTCCTGTAAGGAGCCTGGCATTTTATGTTCCTTGCCAAAGAACGCTGATGAACCACTTTCCAGGCATGGTTGACGCCATGTGCCATGAAAAATGCAGCTTGCAAGAAGAATGAATGGATTGACCAAACACACTGGATCAATTGCCATTGTTGTTCCCGAACGGTCTGTAACATGCTTTCACTTACCAAATGTGGTGAAAACATGAATATCCATCTTCCAAAGACTTCCTGTGGCTCTTTTCGTGCATGCATCAGAGGCGCCTGTCCAACAACGAAACAGTGTGTTGAATAATCAGACACCTTCTTGCATGTGCATTTGGAAGTGCACCTGCACCTTCTGACATGGTCATATACTCTTGATTGAAGTTTTTCACAGCTCCGAAAAGTCAAAGCTTGGTGCAAGGATCCTGCACAACCCACACAAGAATGAACTACTTAAGAATGTTTGCAGTCAGAACACAAAGTACTCACCTCAAGAGAAAACATGAGCTCGCTGACAACATTGCAAAATAACACACAATAAGAGCTAACAGCTAATACCTCAAATGCATTTTGAGCAAACATCTGGTTCACTCATTACACATGGCACTGGTTCCAAAAAAAAAACATGTGTTGTCACCACTGGTACGGTGAAAGAATCATTGTGTCCATCTATTTGCACAAGTTTGCCAAACCAATTGTTGTTTTGAACTGAATGATAATCTTGGTTGTTTTGAACGCATACCTCTGACTCCCACTCACGAAAATTTGAGTTGGCTTTTGAGTTTGTCAAACAACGACAAAAACGAAATGGACAATAAGCCAAACCCCCCTGTCCAATTTCGGTGGGACTGTGGGCTTCACCAATTGAAACTAAAGTGTGGTGCCAATCCAAAGGAATGGCACCCTCGGTCTAAGTTTTGCCTTTGATGATTGATTTTAAAAGACCACCACGAACCGGCAAATGAAAAGTCTGCCATTTGCTGCAATCAAAAACATGTGATGTCTCGTACAATTCAAAATTCAATATTGCACACGTTTCCATGGTTTGGTTTTGTTCTGCGCTGATGAATCACAACCACCAACAGACATTGCAAACACGAAAAAGAACTGTTGTTTCTTCGAGTGTGCACGGATCATCAACAGAAACAGAACTGGTCTTGTGTTCGTTCATTCTCTTGCAGGGGTCACACTGACTTCAAACACGGGGTTTCCAAGTACAAAAGCGTCAAAACCCACAGCTTTGCGAAACACATCCTGTTAAATCTGCAAGCACCAGACTTTACACTTTTAGGCTGCTGTTTTAGATCTTTTTGTGCAGTTTTGCTCTGGATGTAAAGCACACTTAAGGCCTGTACATCTGCGGTTTGCAGAACACATTTCAAGCAACCTTTTACACAACCACAACAGGAAGCACAAACACAAGGTTCAGAGACTGTTTGCTGCGTCCTATTTTTTCAGTTTTCTTCATCTCCGTTTTTTCCCTCCGGGCATGCATTGAGATCAGGTCTTGCATGAGGCTCTGTATGCATGCGCAGGCATCATCCACAATCTTCCTGGCCCAGGCCACAGCCAGTTCGGAGATGTTGCATTCTTTTCATCGTTGCACGACACTGTGGACTGTTCCACGGTTCCTCTCTTCTTTTTTTGTCTCCGGGCGTGTCTTAAGGTCAAGCTTCCCATCGCCAGCAAGTGCACCAGGGCAGTGAGGCCACACAAACAAGAAGCAGTGGCGAAACAGAACTTTATTGAGTTCAATCAATTTCGGGGCCGGCTCTCAGTTCGCAAGGTTAACTTCCCTGCCTGCATTTCCTCCAGTGAAGTGAATGTGCAGGCGCAACATCCCACCTCGCAGACATCTGTGCGTCAACTGGAGAAGATCACTGGCAAGTAGCTTGGACACCACATCTCTATTTGTGAAAACACGGACGCGGCAACTTTCCTTTAATCCCGCTTGAACCAAAATCACAGTCGGCTCAGACTGTCTCAAATCTTCTCAAAGTTCTTCCAACGTTTGTAAAATTTTTCTTCCTTAAAAGAGTCAAGATTGTTCACAGTCATCTCGAACCTACACAAAACTAAAGAGAACTGTCTCTCTTTTTTTTGCACGGGTGGAGACGCCATGTGTGCAGAGGTTGCACAGGTCATCTTGTGCTAGTGAAGAGAGAGTTACAATCCAGGTTGCAGTAAAGAAGACAACCAGAAGACCAACAAAACAACCGCAAAACCGCAACCAGCAACCAAAAACCAAAAGGCAGCCCCCAAAATACAAACTGCAACCTGGGGTGTAGCTTAAGAGGCCGTGTCAGCCAAAATGAGAGGAGGTGAAACAGGGGCGACGAATTCAACATTGGCTCTCAGTACATCTTCGCCACCATGGAGTGTTGGGTTACATTCCTTGCGACAGCGTTACTCCTTTCTTGGTGCAGACTGGTCTTGCTAGTCGAAGGCGGTGCGTCCTGAAACAGGACACTATGGGCGAGATTGCGTTTGGAGAGCCTCTTGGAGAGCTTTGGAATGCTTTGCAGACAGCTATCGGTTCATGCATCATTGGGTATCTAGAGACTTACAAAATTGCAGGGTGCTCGCAAGGTAGCATGGATATGGCTCAGAGGAAAACCACTGCTAGCAGCTTACGAGGGCTTCAAACTGTCGAAAGCACAGCTGCAGCGCAGCCGATTCCATGCAGTGGCGAAGCTGAGGC